TATATATATATAGTATATGCCATTCCAGCACACTTGATGAAATCTTTCAGCATAAATGTTATAGGACAAGTTCACTAATTACCCAAGACCTGTGTATTTGCACTAACGTCGTAAAGACTTGTGGGCAGCACAGTGGCTTAGTGGCTAGCACTTCTGCCTTGCAGCACTGGGGATCTCTAATTCGAACCCTGGTCAGGATACTATCTGCATTGAGTTTGTATGTTCTCCATGTGCTTCAGTGACTACACGGGGTACTCTGGTTTCCTTCCATACTCCAAAGGACTGCTTGCAGGTTACTTGGCTCCTGTCTAGGACAGCCTTAGTATGTGTATTCATGTAAGGTAGGCACCTTAGATTGTAAGCTTCAGGGGCATGTACAGTATGTAAAGTGTTGTGTAAATTGTCGATGCTATATAAATGCCTGTAATAAATGAATCCATTTGAATGGGGAAGTAACTGTATTGCAATAATAACATCCCATTTAAGTCTATAGGGGAAGGGAAAAGATGGTTGGCTTAGGCTGACCTATAGGTTTAACTTCTGTGCAGAGTCCTGGGAGAGTCTGGACTCCAGTTATAGGTGCAAGGGCATGAGGATTGTGGAAGGCTGTCTGCAAACGGAATAGTGTTTTCATGGCTGCAAATAATACATTTGTGAAATTTAGGAAATTTTTTGAAAAATATTAACCAGCAAGTAAAATATAAGCTACACTGCAATAAAAACTCTGGATGCACTCGAAGAGCACCTACTTAGATAGCAATCTTATATCCAGTTATACATTTTGTATTTTACTTTATGAGAGGTTTGAGGCCTTAAACTTTACAGTTCTGCAAACCTCATCCTTCTATTATGTTCCTAGATTTGATAGAAAATATCTCACTATTCATGTTAATGACTTTAACTGTAAATTTGTTGTTTGTATATCTTACGTTGACTGTGTTGGTGATGTTCCTGATTTAACACAGAAAGCTCATATCTCCGATATCCAAATTAAGCATTTGTTTCTTTTTCTTTTCCAGGAACTTCTACTACATAACCATCCTGCGTGATCCTGTTTCCCGATATCTAAGTGAGTGGAGACATGTCCAGAGAGGAGCCACCTGGAAGGCTTCTCTGCATGTATGTGAGGGAAGATCCCCGACCACTGATGAGCTGCCCAGCTGTTACACTGGAGATGATTGGTCCGGCTGTTCTTTGAAGGAGTTTATGGATTGCCCCTATAATTTAGCTAATAACAGACAAGTTCGGATGTTGGCTGATTTGAGCTTGGTAGGGTGTTACAACCTATCTGTGATGCCAGACGAGCAGAGAAACAAGGTTCTTCTTGACAGCGCCAAGGAAAACCTCAAACGCATGGCTTTTTTTGGTCTGACGGAATTCCAGAGGAAGACCCAGTATCTTTTCGAAAAGACATTCAACATGAACTTCATCTCTCCTTTCACTCAGTTCAATAGCACGAGGGCGTCAAGCGTGGAGATAGACGAGCTGACGCAGAAACGTATAGAGACATTGAATTTTCTAGACATGGAGTTATATGAATATGCAAAAGACCTTTTCTTACAAAGATATCAATTTATGAGACAAAAAGAACACCAGGAAGCAAGACGGAAGCGCCAAGAACAACGGAAAATCTTGCGAGCAAAACATGCAAATCATAAACTGGATTTGGACAATGCAACTGCTGATTATATAGGGAATGTAGAGAAATGGCGGTAGTAGTTTTTATAATGGAAGTCTACTACTAGGACCTAGGACTGTACAATAAACCCAAAACTGGAGATGAAAAAAAAAATTAGGCAATGACCTATTACAAACGATTTTACGCTTCGTATACACTTGAAGCCGAAGAAGTTTATCAGTTGCCTTTGCAAATGCCTTTGCATTAATTATTGTAATTATACTGTACACGGGAGTTTAGTTGTGTGACTTAGTTCATAAAGGTTGAAGAGCTATTGATCGTCTATTAGCAGACCTGATTATCAAAGGAATATGGAATCCAGTTTGCATTATGGCGTTATACAGAACACTTCATCAGACTATGTTCCATATTTACTTTTGTTGTAGAAAATCAGTCCCCATTTTAAATATCGTATGACTGAAAAATCTTTAACTTATCAATTTGGATCCATTTTTTGAGACACGGTTTAGCAGAGTGCCGATTTCAATGTTATGCAATGCTATTTGCTGAATAACCTATACATTGTAACTGGATGTTTGACTGTGCTACATTGTAAAACAGAAAGGGCTTTTAGAGCGACTCTGTCACTAAATGACATTTTTTTAAACAAAGCTGTACCTATAAATCAAAATGTAAACACATACCTCTCCTTCTGCCTGCACTGCCAAATGCTACGCCAATCAAAAATAATCACCAGCTGCAGTCTTTATAGAAGATAACACTTCTGGGAGTATAAGTCTCCTGTGTCCCCTGCATCAGTCATTGTTTTCTGCTGCTGACCCCTATGTCACTACAGAACACAATAGTGATGTAGAGGTCAGGGGGGATAAATCACTGAGCATTGCAGGGGACACAGAAGATTGACACTCCCGGAAATGTTGGTTTCTTCATAGACTGCGGCCGGTGATTCCTCTTGATCAGAGTGATGTTCGGCGGTGCAGGAAAGGTAAGTATTTACATTCTTCTTACGGATACACCTTTAATTGAAACATTCCATTTAGCGACAGAGTGACTTAAAGTAGACCGACACTGCATTCTTGAAGAATTCCCTGGAGCTGGTTGTTCTCAAAAATACAAATGGGTCCTATCTACCAAACTGTAATGTGTAACACCACAGGTTAATTAAGTTGTATTAAGAAATTTAGGATTCTATTACATCCTAGGGATTTATTAATAATATTTGTTAGACTTGAAATGGATGCTTGTAAGTCCCATTGCTGGTAGAGTGAACATAAACAAGAGGTTTTATTTATGCTGAGTGATAACAATAAAACCTGAGTTATGCGGGGATTGAAAACTTTGCTTCTAAGAAATCTGAGCACACATTAAAAAGAAACTTGGAACCTATCGTAGTATGACTAGAAAGTTATATACCACATATGGTCACATAACACACACAGTTTTTTAGTGTGACATACTGTATCAGCTGTAAATCAGTTTCCTTTGTATATGACAGATCATGGCAAGAGCTACTACACTAAACAGTATGCTACTAGTTAGAGACCATCAGTAGTCAGCTGTGCCTGTTGGGAAATTTCTGCAGTGTTAGGCAAAATTCCCAGATGCACAGTAAGGCCAATTCATGAAGAACCGAGGTTACTATGTACATCGGCACTTTTTGTTTTCTACAGGTTTCATAAATAGATCTCATTGAACTTTCCAAGCCCCCTCACTTCAGTTGCCATTTGTAGTAGTCTAAAATGGATTCCTTTGGGCCAGCAGGAAGCTAACACAATAAGAGAAATGCTTTGACAAAGGAAAAGAACACAAGGTTGTTGTAGCCAATCAGGTTTCCCCTGTTAGTTTATAAAAAAATGTAACAAGAGTTCTGATAGGTCATTATTGGCAACAACTTTCTTTTTGTAGAAAAGCTTGTATGGCTCCATTTAGAAGTGTTCTCTAAACTCCTCTGCAGCATCCATGTTTTGGTGCAGCCCATTTCAGCCAGTATATCATACTGAACCACAACAGAGGGATTGCCACACAACAGGAATTTAGGAATCTTTATTGATTTCCAGAAAACACGGAGCACATGGTCTTACGGGCTTTGTGCTGCTCACAGCGTAATATCAAAGCTCTCTTTGAGGAGCATGTGCTCCTGTTTGCCTTGAATCAATAAATATGTTTCCTGCATTCCGGTTGTACGGTAGTCCCTCTGCTGTGAATCTGTATAACTTCAGTTTTGTAATGATTTTCTTTTGCCCAGTTTTAATTATTCAGTTTTAGAAAACTATCATATCATATTCTTTGCTGCTGGTCCAAAAGTGTTTTTCTGCTTGTTCCTGGAAGGATGGAAACATGTTTAGATACATTTATACTGCACTAGCAAACTTGCACCTAGCATTCCCACTTTTTCTGCGGCTGAGTTTGAAGGGCCGCTGATTAAAAATTAGCAGTGTGGTTGGTGCCGATGTAGCTTAAAGTTGACCCACCTATTAAAAGTCTCCAAAATAGTTACTTTCAAGGCATGACAACTATCAAGGTCGCCAGTGTGCTTATTTCAGCGCACCGACGATCTTTCAAGCCCTCAATAGGCTTGTGTCATAGTTGATCACATGTGAAGCACCATGGCAACTGCAATCCAAATAGAGGCTAAGATGGCACCTTCCTTGGCTGTAAGGGATATGAGGTTGTAGTTCTGCTTTATAGAGAACCAGTTGAATTTGGGTTTATGCAAGAATCTGAATATTAATCAAATAACTATAATTATGAAGGCTTGGCTATAGAAGATTTCTATTTGAAGCCCTTATTTAGCTTTATTAACTTGGATGGGGTTGACGTTTCGAACCAAGTGTCAGAAGTGAGAAAGCAAAAAAACTCTGACAGCTACTGCCCTGTAGTTGGCAAAACCTCATAATAAAAATGTACAGTTCTCAGCTTCAGGGCAGGCCGTTGTCAAGTTTAGAAGTGTGAGACCTTAGTTGACCTCTCATCGGCCCCATACACACGGGGACTTATGCCACGTTCTGGGATTCCTGCTGCGACAAGAACTTATGGGTTCCTGCAGCTGGAATGCCAGGAGGCCCTGTTAAGATGCCATCAATGTACCTGATTGTCCTAGGGCGCAGAATAGAGGCATCCAGCGACAAACATCTATCCCAAACCGCATGTAATCATACCATGTATGAACTGCCACTGAGAGATCCAGCCGCTGTCAAGCTGTCATTAACTTTAATGGGTACAGCGGCCGCATCTCAAAGGGGGCACCTGGGATTACAGCTGCAAGAATCCATAGCTACTTGCCACAGGAATCCCAGAATGCCCTGTGTGAATGGAACCTTAGTTCTAAAAGGCAGCCTCATGCAACCAAATAAGGAACCACAGGATTTAATATACATGCTTCTAGGGGCATTTGGAGCTCATTTCTAAACACACTTAAAAGCATGTAATGCTTTGATATTGGCTGAATACATGCATAGACATTCAGCAGCTAGCTCAAACAAGAATTTTCTGCATCCTGGGACAGTTTAGCCCGGTTTTACGTGGCTAAATGTGCTTAAATGTATGTAAACGTATGTAGCGACAGCTAAACATGCCTAACCCCAGGAACATCTAAACAGAGGAAACAGATCTGGGAAGCATAAACGTTGTTTATACTGCCTAGACAACTTCTCATGTGTTTAGCGCAGGAGGCCCGTGTGCATGGGGCAAAAGGTAAATAAGGTGGAAAATACAAACCATTCATTGGTAGGCTTCCACAGTTTTAATACTTAAACAATAAATAGATTTATACTCTTGCATAAGCCTGATCGTTCTTGTTAAGGTGTTTCTAAAGAGATCAGATCCAGAGACTATTATTGTTTTGAGAATGTATGCAGATACCTTGATTTTGAGAGCCCTCCCATGAGGAGAAACTAGTCTTTATGAAAAGGCTGAATTCTTGCAACTTACTACATTTTCCAGGTTGTTGTCTAGCTTATTTCAGAAGGGTTATTTGTATTTTAATATTTCTTATAATTGTTATACAATATCATCTGTTGCGCAAAGATTCTAGCTGTTTGATATAAAAAATTCAGGTTTGCTATTCCAGTACCAGCTTACTGGGTTCCCCAAAAACACTTTTCAGAACTCCATTACCAGTTTTAAATGATATAATTGTTCAAGAAACAAATGATAAACTAATATTTCCTTATAATCATCATCCTGCCTGATATGTGATGGAATGTTTGGATGTTTTTCTTTAATATGCAATATGCCTCTTTTGGCACTTGCACTTGAAGCCACTGCAAGACTTCCTGGTCAAGACATTAGAAAGAAGAACTGTCTGTAACGCTCTATGATAACCCATCAGATTATCATAAATCCAAAAGAAACATTTCCAAAAATGATTGCACTACTCCACAATAAATATACATAAAGCAGAGATTTAAAAAATCAACCACAGTAACTCACAATTATTTATAAAAAATACTTAGGCCTTGTTTACAGCAGGGGCAGGTAAAAGCAGGCCGTTGATCAGTATTTTTACCGCCCCCAATTGCCCACCTAAAACCTAACACTTTGGTTTGCGGTAAATTTTATACAGCATGTTGCATTTAGCAGGTGGTGGCACTTGCCATACGCTGCCATTGCAGTCAATTGTACCGTTTTGCAACACTCTGCCAGAATAGGATGGCCAGTATAGTATTATGTAATCCATATCTTCACACGGCCTGCATAAAGGTTCTTTAAGAGGCATCATGTACAGTTTATGCTGCATATTTAAGGAGTTGTAAAGTCAGAACATATACTGTGCTGTGATAACATCAGCATTGTAATAGGAATACATATTATAGTTTTTTTTGATAATACAATCAAAGCTTACTTTTATGTAGTGAGTGCTGCCTTCTGTCTGCCCATCACTTTCACCAACTTCCTGGATTCCCAGTGTGCTTTGCATCGCTTTCACTGCTGCTTGATGCAATGCAATCTTGGTTTCTCACGACTACATATCCCATCATGCATTGCTCCCAGCAAGCAATGATAATGTTACATTGTTCAGATGTTGAGTTGCAGTTCAGATGGCAGAATCTGTGAGTCATGACACAAGGAAATGCATTATTCACAGGACTGAGTGAAATTGTGTCAGTGCATTGAGGAAGTACATCCTATGGGTAACTTCAATAAGTACGTTTACAAAGATCTTGTTTGATATGGTTATTAGGAGTGGGATAGACCTTGTGGGAAATCAATACAGAAATACATATTTATATTTATTTTTTGTCCCTAGATATCCCTTAAGAAAACTTTATGCAGGGTGTGTGAAGACAATGGATTACATAATGCTATACTGGCCATCATTCATGATATGTGTCTGAAACAAGGTCGGTCTGAATTGCCAAACCAATCAGGTTCAATTATTGGCTCTTTAACTGTAAATTTTCAGGCAGATTAAGGTATGCTTCATTTCACATAAAGAAAAGCCTGCATAAAAACAACAATAATATGACACACCCAAAAAGGAAAAATGCACTCAAAGTTTACACAATAAACAATGTTCCCGATGTGCCATCCCAACGCATCCCAACGCCGGCATAGTTAAAATGTAAAGAAAGGCAGCTAGCATGCAGGCTGT